GTGTGTAAGATAATATAAAAAATCATTATCCTCACATAAAATGAGATGCTGTTTGTAAATGCTGATATATCGTCCACAGCTTCAATCAAGCGGAGAAGTCTTTTATCTTCTATGGAGAAGCGGCGTCCCAAAATCAGAGCACAAATTACATTGGAGACAGCATGAGTAACAGGCACGGTGGGGTCCACAGGTTTTCCTGTAAACACAGCAAGCAGTTTCACCATTAACACCAAATCTGCTCTTTCCCACTGAGCAGAAAGCTGGAGAAATAGAATCATTGAATCATTAGGGTTGGAAAAGACCTCCAGGATCACCAAGTCCAACCCCAACCCATCCCCACCATGCCCTCAGTGCCACATCTCCACGGTTCTTGAACTCCAAATAACATTTTACCAAATTCCCTTCATGCTACTACATTATAAGATGGAAAGTTGCGATTTGTCAGCAAAATATATGAGTAAAAATAACTTCAGACAGCCAAAACGTTGTTGTTGATTAAATAAAACAGCAAGACAGACAGAGGAAATGGAATTCATAGTGGTAATAAGGAAAACATAACCCCTTTCAGAGAACCTTGGCATTCTGTTTGGCAATAATTGGTAGTAAAAAAGGGTAGAGGCAGATACCTTTGGTGTTCCGCAGGTACTGAACCAGGTGACAGGCTTCCTCCTGGATTCGACGCTCCTGGCTTTGTTTCCCTACTCCTAATTTCCTCATTGTTAGGAGCCCAAAGCGCCGCTGTTGCTTCCAGAGATGACCATTAGAGAACATAACACCTAGGATCATAATGAATTAATGCTTTATGAATGAGTGAATTGAAACTATTAACGTTTCAAAGATGTTTCTCCGCCATGCTAATCTTTCTCAGTTTTTGCCAGCAGATGTGTAGCATTCCTCTTTCCCTTTCCTTCCTCCTTCCTTCTAGTTTTGCCATTTATATCCCATATAGAAACTTGCCATAGCCGTATTCTGCCATTATTGTTACAAGAGAACCCAAAAAGAGACGTTTCATAAAACCTCGTGAAAATATCAACCTATATTCCACTATACATTCAACACTGTTTCCAAAACCACAGAAAATAACAGTTACCATTTCCATTAGTCAAAAACCTGAAAGCTCTTCTTAATGGCCTTCCGGCAACCTCTTCAGCATGGGCAGTCATCCCCTCCTTCACTGCCTGGTACCCTTGTAGAACAACTACAGGTATGCTCGAAAGCCATAAGGTGAAAATATTGCCATAGGTGCTGGCCATCTGTAGAACAAAAGAGCATCACAACAACACAAGTGAGAACTGGCACTTTAAAATCCAGCAAGGTCAGGCTGGATGGGGCCCTGATCACCTGGTGGAGCTGTGGGTGTCCCTGTTCATTGCAGGGAGTTGGACAGATGGACATTAAGCATCCTTCCAACTCAAACGGTTCTATGACTCCGTGATTCTACATTTAACTGATCCCCACTGATTTTCACATTCATACAGATGAATACAGTTCTGAATGCTCCCTCCAGCATTCAGAAGAAAACTACGTGAACAAAAACTTGCCTTCATTCTTCAGCCAGCTGATGAGTCCACCAGTGAATTGCCTGCAAATACATACCTTTCTAAGGATGTCGTGGTGAATCTGGAACTTCATCTGCAGCAGATTCCCAACGAGGGGGAGTGGAGCTGGACCAGGAGGAAGCTGTCTTCGCTTCCATTGCATTCCCAGGAACTGCATGAGCAGCAGAGAGGCTGCCAAACATACAAGCACTACACTCACTGTTAACATTTCCCTTCTGCCTCACACGGCGAGCTTGTCTCTGAAAAACTGCTACATAAAGAGAGGGCAGATCCATTTATCTTGTTCTGCTGGTACCTCCCCAAGAAGAAAATGTGCAGACTTCTATTCTTCCTTCTTTATCACTTTCCTTTACCTTCTGATCCCAGAGAATTACACGTTGCTTTCATGCACATGGCATTGCTCCATTATATTACAGCCACAAATCCAGCAAGTGTTGGTCCTTCAAGGGATACCAAAAGCAGTTAATTACACCCTGAGACCACGGTGACAAAAATCCCTGCTAAAGGTGCTGGTTTCATCAGGGGCCTCTTGCAAGAGCAGAGAAAACCAGCAGAGCTTTCTGGGGGTGCTGCACAGGTAGGTGAGGCTGTGAGGTGGTGGTGACCAAGCAGAACGAGGAATTTCTTCAGCCACTGCCTGCAGCAGAAATAAAGATGACAGCTTCGTGAGCCTCTTTCACAAGTGCCCTCAAGCAGCTCCACTGGGGAGCTGTGCTCTGCTGCTCCTTTATGCAGAGGAGGCCACAAGGACAGTGCAGCTCCGGTGCCGCTTTGGCATTCTCCCAGGAGCAGCAGCAGCTTAAAGCCAGGCTCACCTGGCTCCAACTGGGGCATGCGGCACTCTGGGAGGTCACCCAGATGGCTTAGCTGCACGCTCACCAACCTTATCCACTTCAGAGACCACTTGGAATTCCTTTCTTGTGGCACTGTCATTTTCTCTGTCTCAAATCACTCCCACCTCTAAAAGCAGATTACCCAAAGTCTTCTCATGAGGAGGAAGTCGTGATGGAAGCAGCTGTGCTGGGAGGACGCCCCAAACAGAACTGCTGTCCTTCAGCAGTTTTCTCTGCAAGGAACACAGCGTGCAATTTCCTGGCTGTCGCTGACTCTGCATTGCTCCGGCCTTTGGGCAGAGCTGGACGCAGGGCTCCAGGCATGGCCTCACCAGTGCTGAGCAGTAGGGAAGGATCACTTACCATGACCTGCTGGCAACACTGTGACCCCTGGCACTTTGCTAGTGGCTGGCCCCCACCCAGACTTCACATCACTGAGCACTGCCCCCTGAGCCCAGTCATTAAACCAGTTCTCTGTTCACCCCTCTGTCTGCCCATCCAACCTGTAGCTCGGCAGTTTATCAATGGCAATCTTATGTGGGACAGCATCAGCGTCCTTACTGAGGTGCCACATTCACTGCTCTCTCCCCATCCATCCTGCTGATCGTTTCACTGCAGAGATTCATCCCGTTGGCCAAACACAACTTTCCTTTGGAAGCATTAGTCTTCACAAACAAACAAAATTAAGAAATTCAAATTGGTAAATTGAGAAATATCATAATAATATAGTAAGAATACAAGCAAAATAAAAATGCCAAACTAGTCATTATTAAAGATTACGGCGTTACTGAAGATACCAGGGTGGGTGGGTAGAGCATACATAAAAAAATAAATTTGTTTGCTGACCGGCTCAAAGCTACCTGTAAGCCTTTTTGAAACACTGAGATTAAATGTTTATGAAAGCCATTCGCTACTTGCCACAATGTACTTTCACAAAGTTAAGACTGTTCCCATGTGCTTCGGGTTGCCACAATTGTTTGGACATTGATTTGCACAAATCAAGCACACGCTTAAAATTTTTGGCTTTGTTCTGTTAGCTTAGGGTGTGAAAGACTTTTGCTTCCATGCTGACCTTGCTGCATTGTTGCAATCACCTCTGTAGACAGAATCATGCTGACTGAGATCCATTTGTTTATGAGTTTGGGGGATGTGGTACCATCATGTTGGCAGAAAGGCTCTAGAAGAGCACACGGTGGAGGAAGATCCTGAACAGGACAGAAGCAGCAGAAAGATTTGTTATGAGCTCTCACAATGGAATCAAACTGCAGTGCTGACCTGCTTCTGCAATAAGAATGACAGGTGTTATAGCCACAATTTGGGAACCACAAGTCTGGATAACAGTGGAGAAAAATACTGGGTATTTTAACAATGATATGAAACCTCCATAGCACTTGGGATGGAAATTAGAAACAAACTGCCTAATATATCACATGCAGCAGCTGACAAACATGCAAGCACAAAGTATTCCTTACTGAAGTTTGTCCCGCTATGACTGCAGAACAGCAGCCACCACAGGTTCAGGATCTATTTAAAAACACAAAGTTAAATTGCACAGATTACTTCTGAATGAAAGATGACTCCAGTGCCAGCAAGCTTACTGCTTTACCTAGCACATTTCCTTTTGCCCACTGGAGTTTTTACTTTCTCCTTTTCACAGAATAGTTGGGTCATCCAGTCCCAAGCCTTTTCTGCAGGCTGGTTGCTGCCCACCACATCAAGCTGTCTGAACTGACCTTCAACACCTCCACAGCTTCTCTGGGCTGCCTGTGCAGAGCCTCACCACCCTCTGAGTAAACAATTTCTTCCTAACATCCAACCTAAATCTCCCCTCTTCTGGTTTATAGCCATTAGCTCAGCTACTAGAAAGCTGTGTGCTGAGGTCTGCACTGAGGCCCCGTGCTCATGGAAGGAAATTTGCCCTTGAGAAACTACAGCAATATTTCCTGCCCTGTGTAGACACACCAGCTGGCGCACAGCTCATTCAGAGATCCCTGAACAACTCTTTTCCTCCTTGAAACCATCCTAGGGGCTCAGAGCCACCACCTTTGGGAAGTGCATTTCTATATCCCACTCTAGAATTGAGAATCAGAGGACCATTTGAGTTGGAAGAGACCCTTACATGCCACGTGGTCCAACCCCCTGCACTGAACAGGGGCCCCTACAGCTCCATCAAGTGCTCAGAGCCCCATCCAGCCTGACCATGGGCAGCCCCAGGGATGGGGCATCCACCACCTCTCTGGGCAACCTGTGCCAGTGCCTCATCAACCTCACTTCATTTTTTTTTCTTCTATCCAGTCTAAATCTCCTCTCTTTTAATTTGAAAATATGCATGAATGCATAGAAATGCATGGGAATGATGGGAAGCATCCCTCAGGACCTAGCTTTAACATTTGTTTTCCCCCATTGGGATTCCTATTGAGCCTTGAAGTAAGACCAGACACTCTAATAATTTTCTGTGTTTATTTCATTTCTAATATATGAGAAAAAATGTACATAGATTTTTCCATATGCTAAGAAAAGGAAAACCAGAGTATTTTTCAGGTCCAGCTTCTTAAAAACGTAACACAACAGTACAGATTCACGCTGAACTTGATCTAGAAATGGGGAATATAAAAGGTACAGAAAAGAAAAGATCAGTGTACTTGCAAACCCCTGGGAGTGCCTCTTCCCCAAATCTACCACGCGCTGCAACCTAGCGAAGAACTGCACAGAGCTTATAGGGGTGAGGTTTCATTGTGCTCCCAAAGACAAAGCTCAGATTGATCTCCTTATCTCCTTCTGGTGGGGTGAACTTGAATGTCTGCAGCAGGCTGCAGAAGATGATGAAAAGCTCCATCTTGGCCATCACCTCTCCCAGACACACACGATGACCTGCAGGGGAAGGGGAAATGCAGTCAGTCCCCATCCCAGGCTGGAGCCTTGCACTTTCTGAGATTACACTCCCTTTGTTTTGCTTTTTTTCCACAAGGAAAATATTACTGCTTCACACTCAGAGTCTAACTCTGTTAGTTATTAGCACGCCTACCTGCTGAGAAGGCTAGGAATGCCTCTCGGATCACAAAGTTCCCATCCTTGTCCAAGAAATGACCAGGGTTGAACTGGTGAGGGGTCTCCCAATACTCAGGGTCAAAAAGAGTTGAGTCTATGTTTGCCATGATGATGGTACCCTGCAAGGAAGTTGCTGTTGGCTCAATTCTGCCTCTCAAACATTGAGAACAAAAGGACACAAATGAATTCCACATAGAATCTGGGGCACTGCTGAGCACATGGTTAGAATAGAACAAGTTTTTTATTGGGAAAAAATGCTTAATCATAAACTGTCCTATTTTGTTGAGGTTTTTATAGTGTTTTTGTGTGTTTGTTTCTTCAAAAAATGAAGAAAAGAAACCTCTGTATCTCAGCTTCAGACATTTCCCTGCTTTATTCCCTTTATGCCTCCTTTTCCATTCTGTTAGCAAATGCAACAGGGTATGAGGTCATTCACCTTCTTATCCTAAACCTAGTAAAATGATTTTCCCAATTCTGACAAGCTTTGATAGATTTACAAATGAAAAATAGTGCACCCTGCAAATGAAATAGTACATTTTAACTTATAATTGCCAAGGCAAAGGGAGAGCACAGAGCGATGCTGTGCAGGAAGATCACAGAATCACAGAATTGCCAGGGTTGGAAGGGACCTCAAGGATCATGAATCTCCAACCCCCTGCCACACGCAGGGCCACCAACCTCCTCATTTAATACTAGACCAGGCTGCTCAGGGCCCCATCCAATCTGGCCTTGAACACCTCCAGGGATGGGGCATCCACAGCCTCTCTGGGCAGCCTGTTCCAGTAATGTGGCCAAAGATCACACTGGAACAGACAGGATACCTTTGGAACCTGATAACCCAGCACGGTTGTATCCTTCACTGCTTGTCTGGGAATGGTGATTAAAATAATGCTGCTAAAGCGGATGATCTCATGAATCACAGCATTTGTGTAAGGCAGTTTCTTTCGATCCTCATAGTCGATTTGGTGGGAAGAGCCCAGAACAGCATCGAGCTCCTTTTGGACTTTCTCTAGGGAGGAAAAAAAAAAAGAACTTTATATGTAGAATAACACTATGACACTATGTTTTGTATGAAATGGCTGTCTTTTCAGTTTCAGATTACTAGTAGTAACAGAAAAAAAATAAAATATGTAAATAAATTATACTTCTTATATCCTAAAATGTAAATACAATTATTGAGGTACTACTTGACTAGAATCTGATATTTCCCAAACTTTAAGTCCTGTGGTTAGATGATTAAGCTCAATGGATTTATTGATCTTCATAGTTAAAGGAAGGGGAGCAAATTAATTAAACAAGAATTTCTGAGCAATAGGTTAAACTCAAGCTACTGGTTTTACTCTAGCTTGAAAAGGTGATCTTAAAGAAAATAAATAAAATAAATATGTGGAACAGACAATTGATCTACTTGAAAGATAGAATCATAGAATCACCAAGGTAGGAAAAGGCCTCCAAGATCATCCATCCAACCATCCACCTCTCACCAGTATTTCCCACTAAACCATGTCCCTCAGTACAACAGCTAAACACCTTCATGTCTGTCTCTGACTCACCTTGGATGTCTGGATAAGCCACCATGTAGAGTAGTGCCCAACGCAGAGTGGTAGCAGTGGTCTCTGAGCCACCCAGGAAGAGATCAAAAACAGAATGCAACATGTTTTCTTCATCATAAGTAGAATTTGGGACATTTTTAGTCTACAGGTGTCAATGAGAAAGGTGAAGTAAGAGCACAGAATCCATCTAAATATCAGCATCTTTAAAATCACCCGTTGCCCACCCTGCCCTCAGGATCCCAGAGTATAAAAATAAACGAAGGTACTATTTTTTACTTCTGAAACAGGTAATTGGCTATTCAAGGTTCATATTTGAATTTGGTAGGGATAGCATCTGTGCCAGCTCCAGCACAAATTACTCACTTTCTCCATCTGATCCAGGTAAAAGTCAATGAAATCTTTGTGTTCTTCCACTGTGCGTCTCTCCCTATGACTTTTGATCTCCTGCCTTATGAAAGAATGAATAAAATTACAGCAAGATTCTACTTTTCGTATGGATCCTGGGAGGTACCCTAAAGGCCATGGGAGAACTTCAAATATCTGTGGAGCAAGCATTCAACACAGCTGCTGTAAGTTATACAACACAAGCAAGGCCACACAGAAATACATGCAGACATTTTTGGTGATGAGTTACTGAGTTAATTTCAACCTTGGGTTCCTACCTTTGCTGCATAACTCAACTAGTATCTGCCCTGCTAATTCATCAACAAAAGAATCCAGTTTTGCAGATAGATCTGTTTTGTGTGCATCAACAGTGATACAGTTAATATTAATATATATTACCTTGATATATAGGAAAAAAAATCTCTTTTATTCCAGTATAATGAACATTACTTTTCAACTTAACAATAGTCATGTTTCCAGTTCAGAAATGGAATTCAGAAATTTCAACGCCCCCAGCACTTTCCTTTCCTGGGAAATTCTAATAAAAATTATTAATATAATGGTTGGACAACATCACATCCAAAGCGCTTCAAATCCAGTTCATAGTCATGGTAGGTATTTTTTGTAAAATCAGCATTTAATGTGTACTAAATACTGCAATAACTATGACAATATATAATGCTATAATTATTATGGCATGAAAATTGTCTAATTACTATCACCCAATAGTGCGATATCATGTTCAGTAATTAAATAATTTGCATGTTAAACGAGCCATTTTCTCACATAGTAAAGGTAGCTGTTCCCAAAAGCCACAATCTCACTGTATGCTTCCATCAGCTGGCGGAAAGTTTCATCCTGCAGGGAGAAACGATGCCCGAACACCACAGCACAGATCACATTGGAGACTGCATGAACAATGGGGAAGGAAGGGTCAACAGCTCTTCCTGCAAACAGAGAGAAGCGCTGGTCACAAAAACACCATCTTCTTTGCTATTTTGAAAGCAAGATCACAATGATGTTTTGCCACAGATATCCCCTGTGCAAAAATTATCTTTCCCCTCTGTGTTACACAAACTACACGCTGTGTCAAAACCACGACCATGCTCCCAGCCACTTCGGTGCCATACCGTCTTTGCTCCTGAAGAACTCCACCAAGTGCCGGGCCTCGGTTTGTATCCCACGTTCCATTCCTTTATTCCCCATTCCCAGTTTCCGGAGAGTCGCAATTCCAAAACGTCTCTGATCTTTCCAGATGAGACCATTTGAAACCAGGATACCTTCAGCCATCAAGAATCAATTGGATGCCGTGTTAATATTCATGTAACGTCGATACTTGCTTGCAAGCTACGTTTGCCAACATCCCCACACGGGTATTGTGTCCCTACAGATGTTGTGTCACCACTGCAGGAGTGGCAGAGAGCTTTCCTCAGACAGTACGTTCAGGTTTCTACCACCTGGAGATACGATGGCCTCTCACTTTAGGCTGCTCAAGGCCTAGAGACCTTTCTGAGGAGCCCATTGGAGAGGTCCGCAGGTTTCCTGCTCTTGTTCCCCTATGTTTGGATGGATACGAAGCTGGTGGGAACCAGTGTAACCACTCCTGTTTCAAATACAGAACTCTATCCTCCATCCACCAAGATTCATCAGTGCCTGATGTAAACAATAGCACAATAAGAACTTCTAAACAAGGACATATTGCACCTACAGTCCCACTAATGCATCTAAAACTCCAGTGCCGTGGGACAGCCCCAAGGGCCACTTCTTGTTCAATAGCTCAGTGCATGCTTTCTCCATAGCAGCCATTGTGTAAACAAGCTTCAAGAATTACTTCAGCCTCTACTCTCAAGCTTCAGATGAAGGATTGAAAGCCATCAGATGGATTACTTCAAAGCAAGGCACAAACTCAGACACCAATAATGGATAAATTAGATTAGCAAGTACAAACGCTGCTGCTTTGGTAAGATTCTGGAACACTTGTGTGATAGTGGGACATAGCAGACAACTGAGGAATGCTGCAGAATTGCTGTATTTTGTTTCTCCTGGACAAATGGAATGGGTGAACAGGGAACTAAGAGCTTGTCAGCAGACAAAGTCCTTCAGCAGATATATGCATCTCACCTTTTCCAGAAGAAAATCTGTTGAACAAGTGGGTCTGTAGCCGCCCAGAAACATCCTCTGAGTTGGTGGTGAGGCCATCCTTCACCGCTTTGAAGCCATACAGCACCACTACAGGTTTGTGGCCCAGCCATAGGGTGCAGATGTTCCCATAGGTTTTTGCTAGCTGCACATTAGTCGATGCAAAACAAAAACAAACAAACCGAAAAGCTGTTGGAGAAACATCAACCAAAATGCACACACAATGGGATCTGCTCTTCCAACATGACGTTACCCCAGGGTTCAGGAAATGAAGAGGGGGAAATGGTTTTGTTCTGTGATGGGAACATTTATGGCAGTAAAGCTGTGGCATTGCTCTGGAATCCCACTATTCAGAGTAATGTGAATGGTCAAAAGCACAGCTGCTCTTGCTCTTTTTAACACATAGCGTGGGTTGTCTTTGGGATAATAACAATTATGGAAATGCTCCTGGCTGGGTATTTACAGCTCACATTAGGTTTCATATGAATGTTCAGCTGCCCAATTTCAGTTACATTTATCAACTCCTCATTTTGCTTCCTCGGCCAAAAAAACTAGAACTTCTTGAAATTACACATTTACATACAGAACACTGGAAAAACAGGTTCAAAAATGCTGAAATCCTCCATTTGTCTTTAACCCGAGGACATCACTATCCCAATATTCATTTTATTTGACTCCTTTAGGCATTACATTTATCTTTCCATCTTTCCTCCAACTGAAGTTCTCCTAACCAACACATCAGCCTATCGACAACCATCGTCATTGGTTACAGCTTTTGCTCCTTCACTCCCATCCACAAACACATACCTTTTTCAGGCTCCCATGATCAGCTCTAAAATTTATCCACCACAAGCTTCCAATGATGGGAAATGGGATCGGGCCAGGAGGAAACCGGCGACTTCTCCATCGCAGTCTCAGGAACTGCAAACCCAGCAGAAACAAAACTAGGGATAATATCATCACAGTCACCATTTCACACCTCCAAACTAGTCTGTCACTGAGAAAGCTGTTATTAATCTGTTAAACTGACTCTGTTCTACTTAACTCTTCCCAAAGAGGATCCAGACTGACACATCCAAGCTTTCTTTCCTACCACATTTCTCTAACCAACAAAATGAAGAGCGTTTCCACCTCTGAGCATACTTAATACATTGCTATGCTGCAATATGCTAATAGCTGCCATCACATTGAGATCCAACCAAGGCCAGAAGGCGGGCACTTCATTCTGACTCGCATCTGATATTCAGAAACGTCCCCTTGAGCAATTAGTTTGGTTGGAAGTGTCACTCACAGCACTGGCTATGTGCAAGCTGAGAGCTGGGATACTAAACTGGAGATTTTGGTGTGCCTGCCTGTGTGTGGGTTGTTGCTTTTGTTTGTTTTTCCGTATTTGTGCATGTTTTTTAAAGAAAAAAAAAAAAGACATTTGGTTGTTGATAGCTTATAGATTTCCCCACTGTCGATTATCAGAAGTAGTTCTGAAAATATCTATGGTCTGTTTCATCCTTTCTCAGTACAAAGCCTCTGTGACATCCACAACTTTCCAAACACACAACTTTCAGAAAAATAATTTTCTCTTCCACAGCCCTCCTCAAGTCCTTCTGAACAGGAGACAGGTGAAAACATACTGTTTTCCAGAATAAATCTGTATCATGAGTGAGTGCGCTGGGGATGGGTTTATGGTTGGTTGGACTAGATGATCTCGGAGGTCTTTTCCAACCTTAATGATCCTAATCCTGCTTAAAAAATGTACTCTATCACAGAATCACCAAGGTTGGAAGAGACCTCTCAGATCACTCAGTCCAACTGTCCTCATATTACTACTATTTCCCACTAACTGTGTCCCTTAGTGCAACATCTAAATGCCTCTTGAACGCCTGCATGGACAGTGACTCCACCACCTCCTCGGGCATCCTGTGCCAGTGCATCACCACTCTTTCAGAGAAGAACTTCCATCTGTGTCTGTTCATTCTGATCTGCATCAGATTTCTCACCTATCCTACAATTCCAATGTTACAGTGGTGTTACTCATTGACAAATGAATTGTCTCACAACACAAACGTAGAACTCTTAAGATTTCTTGATCACTCTGAAGTTTATATGCCAGATGCTTCTGATCACGAAAGGTAGGACTGATCCCAGAGGAAGAGTTAGAAAAGAAACAGGAACAGAGTGTGACTTCTTGTCAGAACGCCACTGGTACTTCACAAGCCCACACTGCCTCTGGGAAAAAAATTAAGAGTAAAAAGAGACGCTTGATTTCTACTGATTTAGTATATCACAAAAACATACATTTAGTTAAAAACCTGTTCAGATGTTGTGTATGCCTGGTTATATAGGACACAACTGTATTTTACAATGGTCATGTCCTCATCTGGAAAATTTTTAATACACATCTTGTCTGAAATCACTCCCAGCTTTCTATCGAATCGCTTCTTGTTCTGTTCAGGTTTCCACCTCTGTAAACACAGCTATGGCTTTGCATACTTTGGCCCCATAGTTCAGTTCATGGAACTTTCATAGGCATTTCCTACACCCGTGCTTTCGTATGGTGGTTACTTCCCCAGAGTAACCTTCCTTTCTCCCCAGAGACAGACAGAGAACATAGGACCATTCAGGTTGGAAAGGACCACTAAGATCATCGTGTCCGTCCATCAACCCACCCCCACCCTGCCCACTCATGTCACTGTGACATGAGTGAGTTTTAAGGGCTTTTATTTGGTTGCTTGTTGTAACTGAAGGATTCCTGGACACTCCTTCCTACAAACCCAGAGAGGAATGGGACAACTGAGTTACTTCTTCTCAATACATTGCCAGCATCAGTCCTTAGGTCAATCAAGAAATGGGACAAGCAGCCAGTGTCATGAAAATTAATTTTCAGGATTAAAAAAGTTTTAAAGCAAAACTTTCTTCTTTAAAAAAGATGAGTATTTTCTAATGACTCTGAAATATTGACTCATGTTTCAGTTTGTGATCTGCTACAAAGCCCAGATCCTCATCTGCTTACTCCCACTCCATCTTCGCCGTACAAGGAAGAATAACGCGCAGTTACATCATCCCCTACCTTAGCAAGTGGCAGCTGAATTTTTCAGGTTATCTGCCCAAATGATAAGAGAAACTGATGGAAAAAGAACAAAAAAAGCTGAGAACTGGGAGACAACAATGGATATCATCTGGATCCAAGAAGCGTGGTGGTGACATGTCCCCACCCGATAGCTGTGCTAAGCAAACACTCATGCGGTGTCTCAAGAACAGCAGCAAGCATTAAGTAGCAGGTTGACCATTGCTTGCTGCTGTGTTGGGCAACAGGTAATTGCTTTGTGCATTTCAACTGCATACATTCTGCTGGCAGAGCTGATGTAAAAGGTACTCTGCACAGAGGTGATGCAGTCAGGGTAGGCTGCAATGTAAGTAGTCACATAGAAGGGGGAAAAAGAATTAAGATATTCAATTTGTTTCATTTTTATAAGGTTTGAATAGGATATTTGCAAGACAACTGTTCCAAATAATTGTAATCTTTCTGTATTTTTTTGTCCACATTGAGGCTTGTCATTCAGTAGGTTTCTGCTGCAGCTTCTTCAGAATTTCTGCAGCTATTGCTGACCACACACTGCACCCAGTAATGGACAAAAGAAAGGTGGGAGAAAAAACATTAAGCACAAAGCACGTCCTAAGATAAAAATAAAAACAAATGAATGCACATCATTGGCCTTTTCCTTTGAGTCACTCCTAGATGAACTCACAGAATCACAGAATGGCTGGGGTTGGAAGGGACCTCAAGGATCATGAATCTCCAACCCCCCCTGCCACAGGCAGGGCCACTTAATACCTCTGCATAAAAATCCATCCGCCTGCTGGTTTCTCTGGGTGTTGCCACACTGCTGAAAAATAGATTCTACCTTTCTCAATCCTGAGCAATCCAAAACCCTTCAGTGTTTCAGCTCATGTTCTTTTCTGAAAGAGAATGGCATCAAATGTATTTATGTTCTTCCCAGTCCCAAAAGCTACATGTGCAACAGCTGAGCATTTCTCAGCTACCATGGTAGAACTCAGAGTTCTTCTCAGGGAGAAACAGAATGTTAATAGCCATTTCAGCTTTCTCTTATCTGAAACGTTCTGTTCTGACCGTGACTATTAGCATTCCAAGTGCAATATTTAGGCTACTAAATACATCAAAAATGCTGAAGCAAATACTCAAACCCTAGGAAATGCCAAAACTAAGACTGTCCACACAATAGGGATTGCTTCTTAGCGATACCTTACTGAGAGCAGTACCAGATGTACTGTGGCTGAATCTAAGGCATTCAGCATCTCTTCCATTCCATTAAATAAACCAATGTGCATCAGAGGACCAAGAAACCAATAATGGTGGGACTGAGCAGGTAGAAGAGGACCTCGCAGAGAGGATTTTGGAAAGAGGCTGTTCTGAGGGCAATCCGTTTTCATTGTTCAATGTCTCCACTCTGTGTGAACAGCACCTTCCCATGCAAGCCCTGCATACACTGCTGTGCCAAGCACTACCTGCACAGCACAGAAACAGCACACTAAATCCACCTTTGCAACCCGCAACTCAACACCTAAGCCCTGGTATTATAACATACAATATATACAACATACAATATATATAATATAACTTACAATAATTATATAATTATTATAATTATTTTATATTATAACAATTACAACACCATCCCAACAGAAATAGTTAAGGTGGGAGATGCTTTTCAGTTGTGGAGATTCCAGACACTTTTAAGGCAATCTACTTCAGAGAAAGTCAATGAATAGCAACTAAGAAAAGAAAGGCACTTGAAACTTCAGTTTAGCCTTCTGTTGCTTGAATTCAATTGTTTTTCTGCTCAGACTGTATCCTATTGTGCACACATTTCCACTTCCACAAAAGAAACCGCATAAAAACGGCAGTGTTTCAGAAAGGTAATAAGTAACACACCCTCAGCATTTAACTATAAGAAACTTCAGGAGGTGTTACCATTATGCAAGACATTTGGTATTCTTGGATTACTGCTTGACAGTGACTGCAAAACCCAATATCAACACACCACACACCAAAAAAAAGAAAGAAAATTCTGGATGCGTCAAAAAATTGTGACAGATCACAATTACAGATCATAAAAGAGAGTAGGTGTGGCTTGGCTGACTGCGAGGGATCACATATTTCCAAGTTTTCTGAAGACTTCAGCTTAGGCAAACTGTAGATCGAGAGGGAGGGACAGACAGACAGACAGAGGGTCAAAGGAGGCATAGGTTCCCTAGAGAGAGCTGGTCTTCAGTAGAAGCACTCATCCATCTGCACAGCACCATATTTGCAGAGGAAGCCACATACAAGAGCAGTGAGCAGCAGAGATTTCCATAATGTTGGGGATTGTTGAGCTGTTTGTAGCCCTGGTATCCTCCCTCCTGATCTTGCAGTTCCTGAAGCTGCAGTGGATGCGTAGCCAGCTCCCTCCAGGACCAGTTCCTCTCCCCATCATTGGGAACTTGTGGCTGCTGGACTTCAAACTTCGCCGAGAAACTCTCGCTAAGGTATTTAGTTATGTCTTATCTCTTGTACGTGGGTAGTGGGGAAATATTGGTGGTAGGTGGGCAGTTGGACTGAATGATCTTGGAGATCTTTTCCAACCTCGGTGATTCTGTGATCTCTGGCTGAAAATCTGTCTGAATCTATTTTAACTTAAATTTAAATATCAATAAGCATCATGTTTCATTACTGGATTTGTTCTCTGTCCTTGCATTGATAACTCTCACCTTGTAAATCATCTTTAGTTGAATTTCCTTTGGCTGACACTAATGTCACTGGAACACCTCCAGGCTGTGATGGTCCAATCTCCATTAGCAGATCAAACATACACTCTAAATGGACCCTTCTTTTCATATTTGTATAACCAAAAGTCAGCAAGGCACATTTTATTACTAAAATGAAGCGGGGAAAAAAATGAATTCTTGTTCTGCTCACAGCACAAGTTCTTAATAAGCCAATTAAAACTCAAGATTTGCATCAGATTAAGGAAAAATACAAGCATTATCTGAGGAAAGACAATAAAAGCAAATATGAACAATAGTGGGAAAGCAACAGGAAAAAACGCAAAAGCATTTCTTTTCTTTTTTTGGAAGTTGGAGGAAAAAAAGATCATTGTCAATTTTCATTTGTGAAAGAAAACAGAAAATCTTTGCCATTTTGCATGCATTCCTTTTTTTCTTTGATTCTTAAAATGAATACTCATGTGAATGCATTGTTTCCTATTCACTGACGCACTGTTATTAACTCTTCAGTTAACCACCATCTATGGCAACATCTACACAGTGTGGATGGGACAGACTCCCGTGGTTGTACTGAATGGCTACAAAGCAGTAAAAGATGGCATCGTCACCCATTCAGAGGAGACTTCTGGAAGACCTCTCACACCATTCTACAGGGACATGATGGGCGAAAAAGGTGTTCCAATACCAAAATATGCATATCTTTTTTTGCTAGTGCAATATAACCCAATCCAAACCCAATTTTGCCTTCTGCAGCAAAAGGCTTTCCCTACCCAGCACCAAAATCAATGTTTCTTGTTCTTCAGGCATTTTTCTGACAAGTGGGCACACCTGGAAGCAACAGAGACGCTTTGGGATGACCATCATACGGAGCCTAGGATTTGGGAAGAACAACTTGGAGCATCAAATTCAAACAGAGGCCTCTCATCTTCTGGCTATCTTCGCAAACACAAAAGGTAAATTCAATAGGAAAATAAGACTTGGAGTGCTTTCTGAAATATAGTGGGTTAGGGGAACTGAAGTTTCACAACACATTTTTTACAAGCTATATTTTTCCTTTTAGTGGGGCTTCTACTGGCTTCTTAATTGCATTCTTGAAAAAAATGTTTTGTCTGCACAGCTGGCAATATGAAGCTTTTTTTTTTTTTTTTTTTTTTTTTTAATAAAGATACTAGAAAATATTTATTATCAACCTTTTCTCAGGGACAGCTGGTAACAATTTTTACATTCAAGGAGGATAGAAAGCCTGTATGTTTTCCTCCATAAAGAACAGAATTTGTGACCTGCTGGGCAGCAAACCTCTACAATTTGGCAGGGAAAAAAGCCCAGCACAAAGAGCACATCATTCTGTTGTCCAACAAAATTCCTTTGTGGGGAATAGAAACTGGTAAAATTTTAAGAATATGCCAAAACAAAACACCCAAATGTAAATGTTCTGAACAGCCAAATCCCTCACCCACATCATATTTCATAGTGACATGAAAGCACAGAGAGGTCTCCCAAGGCCTGTCACCAACTCATTTAGCCTTAGAAATACAGCAAAATGGTCCTATTGACTTCTGAGAGCAACGTTTCTAAGGTCAGTGGATACAAAAGATAGGAGCACACCAGGTGGTATGAAGCCTTGGTACAGCCCAAATCTTTACTTGCATGCAATTCTTCCCCATATTAAACTCAGTAGTTTCATTTACTGCTTCAGAGAAACAGAACAAGTATTGGACTGAAGTCACAAATGCATAGGGGACTGTTTTACTCTGGCCAGTTTGAAGGTTGTCCTCACCTTCAGCACATGTACTCAATTATTTTTCTAGATTTCACCTTTCTGTTTACTTCAACCCTTTCTAACAAGAGCTGTGTTCCATCCTCTAAAATAAGGAACGTGGGTTGGTGGGCATGGTGGTGATGGTGGTGATGGGTCGATGGTTGGCCTAGATGATCTTAAGGGTCTTTTCCAACCTTCAAGATTCTATGATAAGAATTACAGAAGTTTTGCCCTCACAGTCTAAGGAGAAAAATATATATATACATATATTATATATAGTTGAATGTTATGCTGCACTTGAAAACAAAACAGAGAGAAGACAATTCAACGTGACTAAAAAATTAAGACTTCAAAATCTTTCCTTTCTGTTTTGTTATCCCCCCCCCCCCCCCCCCGCCCTGAGTTAAAATATCTGCCTGCAGATCCGAAGGCGTGTAATCCATCCAGACCACCCAGATCACAGCTCAGAGAGGTGGGGGAAGAGAGACCTAGCATCCATCTTCTCAAAGGCAAAAATTACCCTATTTTACAAGAATTAAAAGCAGATTGAAAATAAAGATTCCCTGCCATTACAGAGATTTGCATGAGTTCACCTGCAGAAGATCAGACTCCTTTTAGACCAAGTTTCACACACCTTGAACTACTATTATTTTTGCTTTTAAAAGAAGTGTTCCTCTTCCTTAATTTTTCTCACTGCCACCTGTTCAGAAATACTCACCAGTAGCTCCTGTACCTGCAGGTGAGCCTTTCAACCCCCGCACTTCCATCGTCCATGCCATTGCCAATATAATCTGTGCTGTTGTTTTTGGCCATCGCTTCTCCAGCGAGGATGAATCTTTCAGCAAGCTTATCAAAGCAGTTTATTTTGTGATCTACTTTCAAGCTACTATCTGGGGCAGGGTAAGAACCTGTACATTTAATCAGAATTTCCCATGTTCCAACTTGTGCACTGCCTCCCATCGTGACTGAAACGACTCTTGCAGTGCTTTTACAGTTATCAGGAAATCGGAATTGGGCTCTCCATTGAAAAATGCTCATATTTCTTCTTATTCATTTACAATCACAGATGTACGATGCTTTCCCATGGCTTATGCACCACTTCCCAGGTCCACATCAGAAGGTGTTCGCCTACAATGACTTCATGCACAGTTTAGTTATGAATGAGGTCCAGATGCATGAGAGAGAGAAGACAAGTGATCCACAGGATCTCATTGACTTCTACCTAACCCAAATAGCAAAAGTAAGTATCTATTTATCACCACTGCCCCTCCTTGGCCTCAGTGTTCACTACAAATACTTGCTCTTCAAGTGACAATAATAGAATTTTAATACACACACTTTGTTTGGCATTGAAGAGTTTTGCACTGATGGATTGCTCACCATTTACCACAAAAGTTATGCCCATTGCTACCTCAGGAATTGTACTTATGAAACAATCCATTTCATAGCCTTCATGTGAATGTATCCTACAGACCAAAGATGACCCCACCTCTACGTTTAATAAAGACAATATGGTTCAGACCGTGGTTGATCTCTTGCTAGGAGGGACTGAAACAACAAGCACCACCCTCCTCTGGGCACTGCTCTATATGGTACAGTATCCAGAAATACAAGGTGAGTAAAAGCCTTAGCAGAGAACTGCACTCAACATTACATTGTAATGAACGCCATTACAATGTAAGCACTCACTCAATCACGTGCAACAGATCAAAATAAACATTAACAATGAATACAAGAGGCAGATCTCAATAATTGAGATCTAAAAATGAAAGCTTAACAACCAAAACAAAAAACTTGTGCTTTCTCCACCAGCTCATTAAGATCATTTTAATTAATAGAAAGCACTGCCACCCCCTTCCAGTGAGATAAAATAAGAAATACGTTGCTAAGCTCATGACTACATATGCAGCCAGAACTTTTAAAACCTTCAAAACAGGAAAACTTTAAGAACACAGAACCACATTACCCTCGTAGACATCATCCTGTGCTTTGGGAATGTGCATTTTCTCAATCACCTGAAACCAACACAGATGCCAAAACACATGCCAAGGCATTTCAAAGTAGCACAGTCTTTTCCCCCCTATCTTGGGGCTGGAAACAAAGAGAGAAAAAAAAAAAGTTAAAACATTGTTATTACTATGCAGAAAGAGTTCAAAGAGAGATAGAGGCTGTTCTGGAACCTTCCCACGTCATCAGCTATGAAGACCGCAAAAGACTGCCCTATACAAATGCTGTGATTCACGAGACTTTGCGGTACAGCAACATCACTTCTGTGGGGGTCCCTCGACTGTGTGTGAGGAATACGACTTTGCTGGGCTTTCACATTAAAAAGGTATGGAGTACGTATGTCTCCAAGCTTTGGATAGTTAATATTTACTATGCTGAGCACATCAGCTCCTACAATTCCTGGCTTGGCGCAGAGAATACATGGCAGCATGTCATAGACATGAAACAAAGCTGAGTGCTCCAAATCAGAGCCCATATGTAACACCTTATGACAAAAAAGAAGATAGAAGGGTTTATTATGCCTAGAAGCACGCAGGGTAAGGGCAAGCTGAGGCCAAGCACCTGGCTGTAGACATAGGATAGCACAGTATCTACTAGAGAGAAGAGCCTGAGAAGAATCAATACATAGAAAATATCATCTCTTTCTTGCAGGGCACACTTGTGCTGCCAAATCTGCACTCTGTGGTGTATGACAGTGACCACTGGGCAACCCCTTGGAAGTTCAACCCAAACCATTTCCTCGATTTGGATGGCAACTTTGTGCACAAAGAGGCATTTTTACCCTTCTCAGCAGGTAATGCCCCAACATTTCAGCATCTCTCTTCATTTTGTCTTGCAGCACAACAACAAACATTCTAAATTCTAAAACATTAAGAAACGTTTTGATAAAAATATATTTGGCACAAAGATTCAAAGTCACATATTTTACTGTAAAGCCCACAAATTTTGTCTTGCTCTGTTTGTTTTTCGTAGAATTTAGCTTCACACTGCTAACTTCTTTCTCTTTTCCCTGCAGGGCACCGTGTGTGTTTGGGGGAACAGATGGCACGAGTCGAACTGTTCATCTTTTTCACTAATCTGCTTCGGGCATTCACATTCCAGCTCCCTGAAGGAGTAAAGGAAATCAACCCGGAGTACATTTTGGGTGCAATACTGCAACCACATCCATATGAAATCTGTGCTGTTCCACGTTAATCTGCAACACACCATAAAGCAGAGGGACCCATCAATAACTGCAGAACAAATATCACTATCTTATCTGTATTCAAATTCACATAGCTCATATCTCTCATAGAGAATTAACATAGAAGTATTTCTATTCAGGAAGGCTGACCTCGTGCAGATGAGCTGAAACTAGAAAACTGCATTCAACAAAGCTCGTATAATCACACCGTAGGTATATACAATTACTCAAGGTGTTACCAAAAACATATTTACACACACAGTAACAATTAATCAGATGTACTATTTTAGAGAAGTGATCTGTAACAACAGCTTCCTGAATGTGCACTCAGTAACTTATCACATGTGAAATGGCACAACTGTTCCAACACAGTAAGGATGCCTGAAAACACCATTTGCTTCAGCACAGTTACTGCTTTCTGTTCACAGGTGTTTCCTTGCTTCCTCCTGCAGAAAGTTCCAGGGCACACAACCCCTGTTTTGACTTCTCTTCCTTTCCCACTCCCTGAAAACACTTCATATAGCAGTGTCAGCTTCACATATGCATCAATGTTGGCAAAATATGGTCTCTTATAATCACATTCCACTTGGAAATACCCACACCCTTTTTTCTTTACTACTTCCTATATCTGTTCTCTATTTTATCACTGCTCTCAGATCCATGTATTATCAAGAACTTTCCTTCTGCTTAATATCACCATTACAGCATCCAATAATTTACTCTTTGAAGACAAATAACAGCCTTTCAAGAAAAGAAGATGCCAGTATTCGTCAAAGCAAGCACAGTAGAGATCTATTACATATAGCCTTCTCTTGTTGTCCTGTACTTCCACAACAAACGTGGAAAGTCTGGACCACTTAAAATTCAACTGTGATCACCCTACATGCTCAGTTTTCCAAGTTCAACAGGGACAAACATAAGTTTTGCTTTTAATAACATCCTAGCGTAAGTGGAAAGTTACTTATTTCACAGACATAAAACTGAAGGAAATCTTCATTCTCCTCTCTAACATTTCCAATTACCACCACCCACGTGCTGAGAATCCCATGGCTTTACCACGCTGTAAAGTTTGCTACTGCAGAACAAATAAAGACTTGACATCCACAGATAAATTTCTACCTTTTTAATAAAAGACATTTTAAAACTTTTAAACATTACTCCAATTTTATTGAGGAAAATATAACATCTAAAAAAATCCTCCTTGATTTAGAAATATTTTCTAACAGAAATCAAGAAAAAAAAAAATCTCTCAACCTTCAGATCTCTTGCAGTGAGGGCAGAAGGTACCTGGCATAAAACACATTCTCACAGATTTATGAAAGCAGTCTGATGTGGCAGTTCATAAAAGTTTTCAAGTCTTATCTCCACCTTTTGTGGGATTCATTAAAGGAAAACTCACAAAAAAAATCTCTTTTCACCCTACCACTCACACGGTGCAGCCAAGGGCCCACGGTAAAGTGCTCTGCAGTATGACTGGCAGTGTAGGATACAAGCTTGGACTTGCTCTATTCCAGTTTATTCTGATGGTTCTTGAGGTATGTCCTACGTGAGAAAAAGATTTCCAGTTTACTTCTGCTGTGTTCACCCTTTGGTCTCCTGATTGATTTTTTTTCCCCTAAAATATTATTCCATTATGCACTAGAATTTCCTGGTTTTCTTCTAAAAATGCATCTTGAGTGAAAACATGCACATATTCTTCACCTGTATTTGTGAGGAACTGAGGTACATGATGAAGATCCGTTGTATAATGCTGGTTCTAAAACACGTGGGAAGAACATATGCTTACAGTGTACACGATAAAGGAGGTATTTTTACAGAAAAGTTGCTGTAGACCTGACAGTTGTTACCAGTGGAAAAACAACCGGGCTATAAATTTCTTCTCTTTGTCTCATTCCAAACCAAAACCAGCAAGAAATGTGCATTCCTCAGCTTTCCCATGATTCTCAAAATGTCAGCGTGAGAGTTCCAGATCACTTTTTCATCACAGTTGTAAATGAAACCTACAAGAAAATGATCAGGGCAGAAAAAAAAAAAAAAGTTATTAAATGAGAGAAAGAAATTCATAAGGAATTGAAGTAAAACAGAAAACAAAGATTTAAAAACCAGGACTAAGAGCTAATTCTGTCCGTGAAGCATTTTAATAAACTAAGAACTTGTAAATCCTGTAGTGTCAGTAATGAGAAATCACATAAACACAAAAAATACACCAACATTCAGCTCTATTCTGATGCACGACAGAAATCAGCAGCCCAAGTTCTCAGTAAGGCAGATTGCCACCTCCTCCAGAGATTACAGCTCTGAAAAAAACAAGTGATTTAAAATCCAGGCTTTAGAAAAACCTCTTGGAGGGTCCTGGATTCAGACATTAACTTCTATCACTGCTAAGGAAACTACAATTGCCACTTATTTCCAATTTTTTCATGTCTTGAAGCCCTGAAGAATCTAAACTCTTAGTTCCCTTGGTGTTGGGAGCACTCTTTGCCTAAGTCCCTCCATTTTCAAGGAACATCCAAGAAACACATCTTGAAATATAACCCCTCTGTAACAATGGCCTTGCAATCTTGTTTTCCCAAAACAACAGTAATGAAGAACTTCAATACATACTTCACCTCCTAGATACTAGCTTAGCAATTGCCAAGAGGAAATTGCCAAGAGGACATGCTGATCTTTACCCACTGCAGTGAAGCACACAAAATCCATACTGTTTGTGTGGTTTTAAGGACAAAATGTAACCACTGGTCACCATGACCTAATTCCAGAAAACTAGCAAGCCAAGAGTTTTTCCTAAGACTTCTTTTTAATGAAAGTTTCACAGAGAAATAGACAAGTATTTAGATGGTTGTGATCTCAAGTAATAAGCAGAGTATTGTCCAGAGCATCCTCTGATCCAGCAAACACATCAGATAAATTAAAGAGTTGTTTAAAAAACACACTCAAAGTTCTTCTCTCCACACTCAGTTAAAACTCTGTATGCAGTAGGAAGTCAGCACTTGCATCCACCCCTTCAAGAATAATATATACATACCTAATTAAGCAAAATACAGTCATCAAAATGTTAAATATGTGGTATTAGTTCTTAATAGATAAGTCTGTATGCCAAGAATTATGAAAGGATATGCAGGCTGTGAGGAAACCAGTAAGAAATTAAACTACTGTGGCACAAGGTAATCTCTGGGTTGCCCCTTCTATTCTTTTTGCTGTATTTTCTCTATTTTTTTTCAATAATATGCTATCATTAGAATTTCTAAATTGGGCATCCAAGATATTAGTATTAGTATCAAAGCCAACAAGGTGGAGGAAGATTATGATATTTAATTAAATCTAGTAGACCTATGGTAACTCAAAGAAACAAATTACATCAAAATGCATTACAAGTGTTAACACTTTTGAAAGCAAATGCAAAGGTCAAATCCAACCAGTTATTCCTCACTGACAGCCCCGTTTCCCATAGACACTTTGGCACAGATACACACTGGGGAAGGCCTTCAAGGAGTAAATAATGGCTTTATAAAACAGTCATACATAAACTTCCACGTATCTGACCAGACTGGAAAGATAAATGTTCTTAGTTGCTAACTACTGCTACTCTGCTGGTAGAGAAACAAATAGAAGATTAACTGCTTGATTTGATTACCGGTTTGCAGCAAGTAAATGAGAATATTCAAAGTCCAGTCCACTGATGTGTGACTCTCAAATATTATCTAATACATAAACTTTGATTATTCCTCTGTGTCACCATTAGGACAAATTAAAGTTGTATCACTTACTTCTTGCAATACTTGTCCAAGTGTCTCTCTGCTGTGAATGCGTTTCCTGTTGAAAACCAAAAGTACATTTACACTTCTGCACAAAGCACTGAGGGATCTTGCAAACATTAACTGTTACTCTAGGCATGGTTCCACATCCTTATCCACATGGAATCTTTACACAATCTTATCAAATCTACAAACTTTGAGTCAGACCTGCTATCACTCAGTGAGGCGTAAGAACTCACTGCAGCTTCTCATACACAAACAAATGTTGTTTGTTAAAAAGCTTACTAAGCTTTCAGCATAAATCCAAGTAACTGCATATAGGTGACAACGAGTCATGTCAGCACATATTCTCTGAACCTAGACATCTGTTGTTCAGCAACTGATGCAAGAAGATCAACCACACTGCTACTTCAGTCATTCTTCCAACATAGTCAAAGATGGTAGGAGTGCTTGCTACAAAGACTTGAAAAGGAAAAATGAAGATTCTTCATTCTTCAGAAGTGACAGTAACTATAGTTACAGTTTCTGAACATCCTGCAATACACGTACTAAAAATTACTGTAGATCCAAACAGAAAGCAGCGAATTTTTACCTGTCTATTTTGGTTGCTATGATCACTGTAAAACTGCCTTCTGTGTTGGGCAGGTACGTAGATGGTATAATTACATAACTTCCAGCAGGAAGCCTGCACAGTCGGCTTACTTCCTGTGAATAGCAGTGAGGTACACAGCTCACCAGTGGCTCCAAGTGCAGAAAAGAGGAAGTATTTGGCTTCCAACTGCTGTTAGGTACCTGCAAAAAAAAAGAATGAAAACATGCTTATCTTTTCAACACAGGTATACCTGTACCAGATGTACCACAGTAAGATGTGTTCTGCATGTATTCTGCTCTGAATTCTGCTCAACCTTATGCACAGAACTATAGAGTAAACATTCTCTGAAAATAAAGTCAGCTGGGTGCTGTAGAAAAAAATAAATAAAAGAGCACACTTTATCTGTTTCACACACAGATTTTCATATTTGTCAATGTTTGTAAAAGCCTTGTGTCACTGACTCACTCTGAGTTCACACTCTACTAAGCCTACATCTGGCAAACAAGTCTTACCTGGAAGATATGAAAACCTATTGGACGACACTTGCTGTCTTGGCAGTGCTGACGGAGAGTGATTTTCACACTGCTTTTTCCTGGTCCTGCAGGAACGGAGAGAGGAAAGCAGGGATTGATATAGAAGGAGGGGAAGTTCCTGCTGCCTCCAGCACTTTGTCCATTTTTCCAGCATCCTTCCAGCTGCAGCGTTTCCCATTCACCAACTGGGAGTTCTTCAGTAAGAGCAGCATCTGTGGGTGGTGGTTTTATCTCACTATCAAACACAAGAAAAAAAACAAAATGCAACAGAACATGTATGATTTCACAAAGCTAAAAAACCAGCTCACAGAAATAAATCAGTATTACATAAACTTACAGGAACACAGTCCAAAGCATACACTGCATTGTTTGTTTGTACATCTACCACATCTTCAGTCAGAAACTACCATTTACCTGCTGACCTGATCACTGCAACATTAATACCTATTTCAATCTTGCCCAGCATCACTTGGCATTTATTATCAACACCAGTCCCACAGCATCCAAAACAACATTTCAGCATAAGGACAGATGGTATACTTGAAGTTATTCCCAATCCTCCATTCACTTAAGAACATAACAGCTGTTCTGATATCCTATGATTGTCATTTTAACTCACATCCAACACCTGTTTCAGACTTAGCAGTGTTACACTTAACAGCAGTAGATGAGAGGACATTTGTATTGAAGTGCTCTGCAGATGCTGTACATTCAGAAAAATACATTGCCAACACAAGCCCATGTCTTATACCCCAAAATTAGCAAAATTAGCCTCATTGTTTTGCAGACCTTTATTCAGCCTAACGCTTGATAATATTTTGCCTCTAAATTCTACAGAGTAAATGATCTGACTTTATAGTGTGACTTGCCAGCTTCTGTCCATGAGCATATGAGTTGTTAGTGCACTATCAGAAGTATCAAAAAAAATATGAATAGCTTTTAAACACCTTGTCAGTGGTACATTTTGCCTCCATGCTTATCAGGCACAAGCAATTGACACGTCCATATTTTTTCAGGTTTACTGCACGAAGATACAACTTCACCACACAATGACTCAATCATCATGTCTCCATATGCATTTATTTGAGGTGTGTGGTCACCAAGGCAGACTTGCTCATGAGTAACTGACTTTGAAGTGTTGAGATATCTGCTACAGTTAAGAAAAAAGTATGTAAGTGATCTGAAGCTACTGGACTGACATTGCTGATGTCTCACATTGGATCAGCAAGCATTGTTACACAGAAAAAAACGCTTTTTAAAGTTCATTATAAAAGACTTAATTTCTATCACAAGCTACAAGGGAATATCAAATAGGACACAACATGGAGTGATGCTTACAAGTATTTTTGCAAACTCCACCATCTGGGTTGAATGCTTTAACTCAAGACACAACCCTTCATTCAACTAAGCAAGACAGCACTGAGGTCAGTGCTATTTTTCACACCTGTCCTCGCAAAGATGAGCTACAAGTATGATATCACCCGAGTCCACTGCAGACTCTGCATCTGCATTTGAAACTGTACTGCTCACCCTGAAAAGTGCTGTACACCTGGCAATGTCAGTATGTGTGCCAACATTTTTTCCACTACACATGATAACATACAGCTCTTTTCCATCATCCACTGTGGTAAGATAATTTCTGTGGTACACCTGCATTTTTCCTAACACTAAGAAATCTCATTACTTCTGATGTGTGATACTTTAAACACTTTGTCATTACACGTAAGAGCTGTTTCATCCAAAAAACAAGGAGATGGAAGAATGCCTCCATAAAAACAAAGAGAAAACTATACTATAATTTGCTATTGTGCACAACTGTTCAGAAACACTTTGAACATTTTCATACTGTGCAAATGTATCTTCATGCATCTGTTCGTGCCCACAAGAAGTTTTCTGCTTCTTTTTAAACATACCTGAGAGAGATTCTTCCTGTAGAAAATACACGAAGCAAGAAATGCCCTACAGCATCTTTCAGGAAAGTGCTGGGAACAACAAGATAGTACCCAGGAGAAAGGTCACAGCATACATGCACTTCTCTGTCATAGGAATGGCAGACGGTACCTACAACTGGAGGAGCAGAGAGGGTCTTTGGAAGGTTAAATCGTTTCTTCTCCACCTAGAACAGATGCATAATGATGCACAATGGTTTAGGAAAAATGAGCAGTTTGTAATAAAAGCAATCAAATACTGTTTAAACACACCTACATTTACAAAATGAAACAAGAAAGAGAGTATCAGCAGCATGCTGATTATCAAAGAGGAACAGAAAGCATTAATATTCAGAAGCAAAATTTGGAATAGCCATTAAGTGATCAGCCTGAACTGTCATTCACTAGTTTGGAATAATCCCAAACATTCCACTATATGGCACTCACAGAGTAAAATCAAGTGCTGGTTCATACCTAGGCTGTACAGACTGTAACTTTGTGACATATTCAGAACGTAAATCAGATGTGGAAAATGTTTAAATAGTGGAATAGTTTCTCACTGTTGTAAGAAATGAATTATTTTAGTCAGATGTTTCAATAGTGCCTTAAAACTACTTGCAAGAGAAATATGTCGCTTCCAAATTACCTTCCAGACATGCAATCCCACAGCCTGATATTTCTTCCCCTGTATGCCTTCAGTCAAAGACAGATTTTCATCTACTAAGCGAGTCAGGTTTTTAATTCTTCCAGCCCAGTCAGCACTGTATTTTCTGTGTTTCTGCAGCAGAGCAATGCACACCTCGCTCTTCTCACAGACTCTCAGCCAGAACTTAGGGTTGGTAGGGAAGCTGCTGTTGTTACGGCAGCCACCTGCAGACTGGCCTCTCACCCAGGATCCAAACAGATTCCGAGAGTGATACAGGACTTTCTCTAACAAAAGAAGAAAAACACGGTGCAAACTTCAGACACCAGAGGTCATTTATTTTATCCAGCAAATATATGGCAGAGATTTCCCAGCCCCAAAAAACACGGTGTGGTAGCCTTGATGCTTTCTCTCAGTAAACACTCATGAACAAGATTTTGAGAAAATTGAAAATGAATGTCATGACTGGTAATGGCAGACTGACATGACTTTTACAAGTAACAAAAAATTGGTTTCAGAAATCTGACGTTTGTATCTTACTAAGAAAAAAAGAATCTCAAAGCTCTGCAGAACAATAGCCATCTAGAGAACGCTCATCTCTCAACAAACTAGCAAGTATCTAGAACTCAGAAGAGTATCAAAGGCTCTTCTAAACACCTTCAATTTCCTCTCACCCCTCTATTTTTCCCAGCAATAGAGACAGAAAAGGCCTACAGGTATAGAAGAGAGGGAAAGACTGATACAGAGAAATTACAGTCTACTTGACAGCTATTTGCAATTCAAATCACTTTATCCCATTGATTTAATATTATCCATACAAGAAAGATGTTTTTTCATACCACACCTGTATACAGGCTCTGCAGTTGTCCTTCCTCATTCACTGGAAAGCCCACAGTAATCTCATCAAATTCTCTGAAAAATTCCTCTTCATCAACCCAGAATTCTCCATCTTGGATCTGTGAGAGGAGTTCGGAGGCAACCATCGGATCCAGCTGGCTCCATCCTTCACCACTACACATAAGACAAGAGTTAAAACACTGTTCTTTACACAATAAAAATTCCATAACAATCTTTCGTTCTTTATAGCAGATTTGCATAGCAGGACAATACAAGGAGGTTTCTTCATTTTAGTGTCACAGACTTGCCAAGAATGCTTCCTGGATACAACGTGCTGGTCAGTGAGATGCATCATCTAAAGTACGAATCATAACATTTCAAAGAAAACTTGGAAACAAACAGCAATCTAAATATTCTAACACTTCTCAAGATAAGCTCCTAGGGCCTGTCCTTTCCTTCTAACTACCTGCAAACTATTTTGCCATCTGAATTATTAACAACAATTCTGCATTTCTTTTAAAACATCTCTCTTTATATCTACTTGGCATCAATTCTAGTTTCTCCTATTCGTGTTAACCTACATAAATATAAAAAACAGACAAGCAGAACAAACTTACTCACCCCTCACACCAGGGACCTCTCCAGCACCGCCTTCCCCAGGGATTTCGTATTCGTAGGAGGATGATTTCCTTGCCTGACACTTCAGAAAGATTCAACATATCTGTCACTATAAAAGCATGAAATTCTCCTAGCTCACTTGCACCTGAATAGAAGAGATAACAACAACCTAGAATTAGAATGTATATAAAAGAATCCAGACCATCATTTCACAAAGACAGACTTTAAATCATTCTGTGAAAGAGAGCAAAACAAAGAAATTGTTTATTGGATCAGTATTAAAACAGCATTAAAAAAAATTTACAACTATATAGAAATAAGACAAATAAAAACTTTAAAGCATATTAACTCCCTGTTGATCTCAAGTATATATAAACCCTCAGTGATTTTTTCTAACTATTTTTGGGGTTGGCTTTGGGTGATTTTTCTGTTATCTGCTCTGAGAATGAACCTTAACAACTTCCCACAAATCTAACATAAAAAGCACCTCCCAAAAAACCCCTCTATCCTGAACCTAACAACATCTTTAAATCCTTCTTTATCCAAGGTTACACAAAATCACACCATGCAGCTCACACAATACAACAGTCAGCAGTGTGCAATGGCTGGCTGTCTTGTGCTCAGAGCAACATCAAATTTATTTTAGATTAACTTCACTGTTACCTTGTCTGGAATCGAGGACTGAGCAGCTTATCACACATTGCTCTTTCAAAACCATTAGTCTCCTAAACACTTCTTTCTTCAAAACCATGCCAGACTTCTCTTTCCCTGTGTTTCTTGCAGGCTCTTTCAAGGCCCATCTTTCAGCAATGCCTCCAGTCAGATCCACCAAAGCATCTGCCACCTGTCCTGCCCACAGCTGCTCATAAGATCCATGCACTCTACAGGAAAACACACACACACAGAAAATGTTTCTACAAACAGCAGAACTAAGGAAACAAAGTTCCTGTGTCCTTCCTACCCTGCCCATCCCCAAGTAAGCAAGAGAAAATCCACAATTTACTTTACAGAACAAATAATCTAAAGAACACCTAACAAACCCATCAACCAGTGAGATGTCTGATGGGTTACAATTCATTTCTTCCTATATAGAAACTGCTTCAGCCTTGATGTTTGTACCTTATTTGCACATCAGCTTTCACAATATAATAACTGCTTACTGCATATAATATTTGTTCCTCCTCCTCCTCTAGGAAGAGGATTAAAATGATTTAATTTTGTTCACTCTGCACAAGGTGTGAAGAAACCACTTTAAGTATGAAGGCTTTTTCTGCCCTCTGCTGGCAGCCACACCATCCTCTCTGCAGGTTCTTTTGTACATTTGATGTCAGTGCATTTTTCTACATTTCCCCATGGATAGCAAAAACTGGCAACCATTATCCTTTACATCGAATTACATAGAGACCTAAGCCCAAAACTATGACTATGCCAAGTCAGATGTCGAAGCAAGCAGAAGGTAAAACAGACAAGTATTCTACCTCCCTTCATTCCCCTCAATTACGGGGCTCACATACTTTGCATAAGCTTTTTCCAGTAGTGGAAGCCAAAACAAATCTTCTGTCTGACACTGGGAAAAACAGAGTTTACCACCAAGGCAAGGCAAACGATCATCAATGGTTACTTCCACCCAGTGTCCAAACTGCCAGACATGGCAGGTGAAACGGCCTTGATACAACTCATCTGTCCAGCTGGGCTGACCTGGAGGGAATACCTAGAGGACAAAAAGCTCAAATCAAGACAAATAATGAATGGTTGTTGTTTCAATAAAGAAAATTAGTTTAAATTAGGCTGAATATCAACCCCTTGTAAAAAATGCAAAAAGAAAGACACAATGCAGTAAAACTAAGTGTAACAAAAGTGATATTTACATAGTGGCTTAGGAATAAAAAAATAAGCAAAATATAAATGTAAATCAGGAAAAAAAAAATCTGGAATATGAAACAAGCTCTCTATACCTTATTCAGCAGGTATTTACTCTTTTGCAAAGCTACACAGGCACAAAGGAACCAACAGTCTCCCAGGATTCCTTGCTTCACCTGTACATCCTGCAGATTGTTTGAAAATAACCGAGGAGTAGAGCAAATGTCCTGCAATTAAAAGAAGGGAAACTGAAGTTGAACCCTGCACAACAGTCTAAGGAAGCCTATGATTTGGAGAACTGGAGGGCACAGAGGCCTCTCTCAAAATAATGGAGCTTTTACCTTTTACATTTCTTCTCCAGACTCAGCCCAACCAGGCAATTACAATGACCATCTTGTGGCTTTTTACAGGTACTTTATGTGAGGAAAAACTTGTTCTCATATAGATTTTATGGCACAAATACCATCACAAGTGCAACCACATCAGAAGGACCAAGAAGTAAAAGACAACTGAAATCACGATTTCCTTGCAAGAGATATGACCAACTGGGATAGAACAGATGCCATTCACTTTGCACTGCACTCCTCAGTTTCCAAGAATCTCCAAACTTGTATGATAGAAAAACCTTTTCTAGGGCAAATAAATATGGATTGCTTGCTAATGAAAGAGATTACTACAAATCTAGGGTCTTGAAGTACTCAATCTGATCTGAAAGTGAGCTTTTAAAATGGTTCTTCTCTCACCTGCAAGCACTGGCAATTAACTGATCAGCCCTCAGTAGTAACGTAGGTACAACGTACAAAACAAAGCTGCTCACTGGGCTTGAAAAATCTTTTCTTTGTTAGTTGTATCTGATAACAATAGCTCCATCTCTGTTCTACAACCACCCCGGATGTAGGGCAGCAAATTCACTTCATTATGTTTTTATAGCTTTATTCTTTTCCATACTCAGAACCATTTGGATGCTGGATGGGATCCTTAAAGGTCCAACCTCCTCCACTGAACAGGGACACCTACAGCTCCATCAGGTGCTCAGAGCCCCATCCAGCCTGACCTTGAGTGTCTCCAGGGGTGAAGCACCACCAGCCCTGTGCAATCTGTGCCAGTGCCTCATCACCCTTAACATAAACAACTTTTTTCTTATTCCCAACATAAATGTCCCCTTTTTTAGTTTCAGACCACTTCCCCTTGTCCTGTCACAACAGATGCTGCTAAAGAGACCATTCCTCTTCTTTTATTATAGCCACCCTTCAGGTACTGAAAGGGGATCATAAATATTTTATTTATATTGAAGGTATTATGGAAATGTATCCTACACTTTTTAGCTTGCATATGGCTTACTCCAAAATCCAGATATTAGTTTAAAGGCAATATGACAAGAACAGCCTAAAAATAAAAACAATAATAATTAAAACTGTTTTTTGTTGTCATTTCATTTTCATTCTCATTATCAAAGCACAATTTTTCCTCAGCAACAGCAAAGGGATCAATACAAACACTACAACCTGGTTCTCTTCAAGACAATTAGACAACATTTTGAAGAAACGAAAATGACATGGATATGCAACTTGATACGTGCGTAATTTGTATAAGGAAATGTATTTCATAGAATCATAGAATGGCCTAGGTTGAAAAGGACCCCAATGATTATCTAGTTTCAATCCCCCTGCTATGTGCAGGGTCACCAACCAGCAGACCAGGCTGCCCAGAGACACATCCAGCCTGGCCTTCAATGCTTGCAGGGATGGGGCATCCACAACCTCTTTGAGCAACCTGTTCCAGTGCCTCACCACCCTCTGTGTGAAAAACTTTCTCCTAATATCCAACCTAAACCTCCTCTGTCTTAGTTTAAAACCATTCCCCCTTGTCCTATCAATATCCATCCTTGTAAACAGCCATTCCCCCCTCCTCTTACAGTAGAATACTCCAAATTCTACCGGTACCACGGAATGCTGAAGTTGTAGCAGGAATTTGGAATCACAACTACACAAAAGCACAGGCTTTTCTATCTCAGAACTCACCTGAGGTCTCAACCACGATATCTCACCCCTGAACCGGGTGAGCGGGGTGCAGGAATCAAAGAATATGGAGGTGTCGCTGGCAGGGAAGGCAGGGTCCGTGTACAGCTCTCTCCTCACCGTCAGCTGCTTTGTCTCTCCCAGCATTTTCAACGCAATCCCAGGCGGCTCTGCCGGCTGTTCCCAAGACTCTGTTTCCGAGCATCACCCTAGAACGCAAACGAGCGTTGTAACTGAGAAACCACGAAGAAGCGCTGGTGCCCAGGAAGGGAAAGGCTCTCTTACTCTTCCCACCGAGCTCCCCGAGCCACGCCATCACCGCTTTCTTTCAGCGCCGGCTGCCACTCCCGGGGCTCCCCGACCTGACAGGAAACAAGAGGAGGCCTCAGCTCCCCCGCGCAGACACCCCTCACCCCGGCTCCCCCAACCCCTCCCCCGGCGGCCCTCCCCGCCCCCCTCACCGCAGGGCAGGCCCCGCCGCCATGCCCGGAGCGCCGTTCCCTGGGCAACGCCGGACACCTCCGCCCTCTCCCCTCAGCCCAGAGGTAACGGATTGAGGCGACGACCAATGGGAAGGCGGAAAGCGGGCACGTGATGCGGGCTCCGCCAATCCGCGGCCTCCTGCCCCTGAGGGACAGGGTGGTACCCAGCGGGCCTCGCGGCGCTGCGGGGAGCGAGGCGGGAAGAGGTGAGGGCGGGCTGTGCTGCCCGTCACCTCAGGGCATGGGCGGGTCCTCCTGCCGCCTGTGGTCACGTTCGGGCTTTCCATCCTTATGTGACCCGAAAAAGACGTGCAAACAGGCTGCTGAGCCAGCGCGGGGATGCTGCGCTGACCAAAGAGCAGCGCTATGCCAGTCCGCTGGTGACACCAGCCTACCTGAGGGCACAGAGGCGGCTGGAGAGCCGCAAAGCACGCTGCTGTGGCTCGCTTCTGTCAGAAATGAGCGCAAGTCGTCACTCAGCCCCACGGGCAGCGCTGCCCGGGGATGGGCTGACCCAGAAACGCTCTAGCTGCACACACAGGGCTGTAAGAATGTCATCCACAAAGGCTTCCCACAGCTGAGCTGTGTCCCTTCGGGCACCAACACGACGGCAGGCAATAAGGGCCCCTTGTCTGCAGCTCACAGCTGCAAGGCACAGACACAGACGGGGCTCTAATGGGGAAAATGGGCCTCTGTTTGAGGAACAGAGAGAATCTCATCCCTGCGACTTCACCCTCCCTGCTTTCTTTAGGCTACAGCGATCACAGAACAGCGTAAATGTAATTAAATTACAGCTAGCACCGCTTTCTGTAACGGTGCGAATGCTACCTGGAACAGATCTAAACACAGATCTGTATTTATCATGCTGTTATCTTTGTCTTCTAGAAGTTATGTTGGTCTGCAAAACATCTGACGTGCTTCCCTTGCCCTGGCTGCAGTGTTGGCAGCAGGCAGTCAAATGGATCCATTATACAGCTGGCAGTGTGATGCCCTATTGACCCAAAGCTCTCTGGGAGAAAAGCAGCCATTTTCTGTGTTGCCTCTTGGCAATCCTGCTGGATTAAACTATTCCTGAAGGCAGAAAAGGGCTTATCTAGATAACAATCTTAGAATGCTGTAAGACAACACGACACTTACCTTTTTGTCAGCCTGCTTCTCAGAGTACTTGATGCAGGTGCTTTATATTTCCTCCAGAAAAGCAGATGCCAATAGGCCAAGTCCAGTTGCTATGGAAATTCAGAGTTAAGAGGGATTTGCATCCAGTGAAACAGCCAGTTCGTTTCCATGCAGAGAAAGCCTATCCTTTGACATGGTATTTTCATGATTTTTTTTCCCCTCAGTTTTGGAATCGAATCAATTTCTTGTTCGCCTCTGTCATTCATTTTCCATTTCAGGCAGTTCAAGGTCAGGAAGACCACTAAAAGGGACCTGAATGTATGTGCGGTTTGGAAACTGAGACACACATAAGTCCTCTAAATTACAGAGGGGAACTCTTCCAGTTCTTTGAATCCTGATAGCAGGCTTAGAAAGGGACAGGCTTAGTCACCACAACGCTGCCAAGCTGACAGTGGCTGCTGCTGTGTCAGAGCCATGGTGCAGGATGTCCTACTGCTGCTTAAGGGAGATTTTGGAGAGAAGATTTGAGTTTTATACTCAGAGCCTTCTTCCATACCACACAAGACTGGTAGCACACTGCTCTCTTCAGCTACTGGGAAGACAAGCTCAGTCTCTTTCCATAAAGACAGCAGGGCAGAGGAGACAGAGCACAGCTCCAAACTTCCCTGCTGGCTACCATACAGCAGGGCAGCACAAGGTGCCTGAATTAAAGCAAGAAGACGATGCTTCTCTATGCACCATTATAAGTGCATATACTTAAAATCTAGGACAATCTTCCTGGATTTTCAACAATTCAGTGTCTTTTAAATTGAGTCTTCCCAAGAGAAAAACAAATCTTGTATCAGAAGGTTGTGGTTTGATAAATCTCATACTGTGGTTTTAGTACCCCAAGTCTGATGTTTTGGTCATTATGACTTGAAGTTGTTATCAGTCTGTAACAAAATGTGTGAAAATAAATGTCACTGATTACTATTGAATGTATGACATTCTTTCTAGACAGATCCAAGCAGGGAGAACAGACTGAACATGTGTACTTGATCAAAAGCGAATTGTGAAGTGAGCTTAGAATAGGCAAACAAAGCCCTGTGCTATCCAGACAGGGCAATGGCCAAGGTCACTTTGTGTGAGACCATGAGAAAACTGGTTAAATGAGAATATTTGACATGTTGTTCTTGGTTAATGGAGTGCACAGCTGGGATCCTGTAATAATCCATGGCAACAAAATGATTGATATAAGCTTAACAGAGTAATATGTGTTGCTAACAGGAATTATACTTACATTAATCCATGTGGCAATGAAATGCTAAAAAAAAAGTTAGCAATAACCCATTTTATTAAAGTGTTTGGTTATTCAGAGTTTTTCCACACCTGATACTGCCAGACCACACTTCACTCTGCTCAAGGCTGCAAGGAAATGAAATAATAGCTTTCATTTTTAAAAATAAGGAGAATAACCCTATCTCTTGGCATCTGCTTAAACAGAACAGTTTTGCTGTATTAATTTTACTTTAAGAGATAAGAAATGAGCCCAGCATAGATAAGGCAATAAAAGTTTCTATTTAATCTCAGCCTAATTTGCCATTCAACGTCAAGTGTATTACACATCAAAATAAAAAGTTGTTTGAAGCATTAATTTATTTTATGTCAACAAAAGGAAGGCTTATCTCCAAAAACTTGCTTCCAATTTTTTTCCTCTTCCAAATAAAAATACACTCCCAGTTCATGGGAGGAGCAAAAGTACCTGAAGTAAGACAAACAGAATATTTAATACTCAACAAATCCTGCATTTCTCTGTGTTTCAGAGAACAAGTTGTATGAAAATAGCCCTCTGATGTGTTCTCACACGGATGGGAGCAGAAATGCTAACTTAAATCTTATATTCTTCAGTCACAAAACAGCCAGTTAGGTCCAGACAGCATTTCCCTGCTCTGATGCATGCATACACAAACACACAGCTGATCTGATGCCAGCTGCAGTAACAACAGGTAATATTCCCTTTTATTTTTGCCACCTCTCCAGCTTTATGCCGTGCAGCTTTTAAATAGCTTCCCAACCCCCTAAACGCTGTACTCCAGAACAGGACAAAACAAAGACAACATACCAAGTCAGTTCTTCCATGTGTCTGTAACAGTGACACTGAAAAACAGCCCAAAAAGGCTAAATTTGTCACAAAGCGTAGTTTAATTTGACAATCATCATAAGGCATCCATGTAAATTAAAAATTCCCACCAGGGTCACATACATTCTCCCACAAAATAAAACGTGCTAAAACGGAGGCCTGGGATTCCAAAGGATGCTTGTGGTCACTGCCTGGGCCAGGCTGCCACTACCCACAGGGGGTCCAGGAAACACAGCACCAGCAGTGCAACTCAGGAACTGGAAAGTCAGCTCACACAAATTTCTATCAAGAGAGCAACAAACAAAAAGAGGAAAGAGATCTGTACAAAAAACGTCATTCTCTGTCCCTTCTGGGAAAACAAGACAGAACAAAAAAGGTAAGCCATTTACCAAGCACAGAGTAGAGCTTGGAGTTCAGAAGCCCAGCGATGCTGATGCCCCGTTCTGAAAACTAATGAAGCACTAAGGAGGCCTGAGTTCATTATTGCTTCGTCCCAGTTCAGCCCAGGCTAAGGCTATGGTGAAGTCCAAATTAATTTAAAGCCAGAAAACGCAGATCCAGTAACAGCACCTAAGTCCCCATCCACACATGGGTGTAAACAGATTCTTTTGGTGAAAAGAAATCTCCCAAATTTCCCCTCTCCCTGTGCTATGCAGATCCCCATAGCAGTGCTAGAATTTATATAACAGCTTCTCTGTCACACCTCCTTTAGCTGAGCATCTGCAAAGTGTTTCATTTTGCATTCACACTCATCCACTACCCTGCTGATACATCAGCTCAGAGAAGTTCACTGGGAGCTCACCAAGAGGCACGCAGTTGGCCGCATCTAAAAGAACGTGGCACAGAGTCTAAGAATCATCACCTGCACTGTGTGATAGTAATACCAGCCATGCTCTGCCTTCAGCGCTTCGGAGACCAAACGGCACAGACAAGAGCTCCTCTCCATCCTGAGTGCCTGGCCAGCGATCAAGAGAAAAAGCACGCTGTGTAAACAAAATGGCATCTTGCCACCACCACGAGTCAGAAAACAGACTCAAATCAAGTGGGGCTTCATATCAAGAAAGAGTGCTTCCCTTGGATTTCCATATGATGGGGCAACTTTTAGAGGCAAATATTATTCAAGGCAGTAGAATTTGAGTGTGGGTATCTCCGGGGCTGACTTACAGGCCCACCATATGCTAGGGATCTAAAACAATTAAAGGTCCTGTTAATTTTTCCGAAAAGGACAGAACAGAGAAAACACAGTGTGTCTGATGAACACACACGCTAAGACACTACCAAAGCTTGCAGTTAGACTTGTCAAAACAGTTAAAAAGGTTTAGGCATCCAGTTTGTACCAGAATGGATGGCATTTGGGCACCTAACTTAACTTTGTGAAAATTCGAGCCTAAACATTTCTTTATTGCTTGTCCCATTGAGTGCAAAGGGAAAAGCGAGGGGTTAACCACAGAAGGATTTCAAATCCATCATAAGGTTTCCCTGCTCTTCTTTACATGTATAAAAGCATATCTATATGTGAAGCATTATCATTCTTTAGCCACCTGGAGTAGGGGGATGAGGGAAACAGGAGCTATTTCATTTCTTAGTTATCTGAGCATCAGACCCTGCTTCCCACATGATGATACCTCTGTCACAGTAAGAGCATGACATGAAAACGTATCTACTGCCGCTGAGAATTCCCAAGTCTGCAAAATTTCAGCC